GAGCTGGAGCACTGGGTAGGGAAAGGGTGCTTTCTTTCACCTGCATGATCCCGGGGATGTTCTCATTCTGCACTTGCTATCTGCTCTCCTGGGGTGCAGACTTGATGAAAACATCCCCATAATAGCTTAGCCACCTCTGTGTGGGGCTTTCCCATGAGCTGTGAGGGAACTTGGAGAGCAAAGGTGTTCCCGCTGAGGGCTGCCCCTCTTGCCTCTCCTCTCAGAGCTGTGTGTGTGGTGCCGTGCCAAGGGTCATTGCTGTTGGGGGAGGGAGAGGAGATCCCCTTACCTTCTTCCACTTCCTCCAGAGGTCCAGCACCTCCGTCTTCAGATGTACGGCTGCATGGGTCTCTCACACATCTTTTGTTTTGTGTGAATGTCCTCTGTTGGTGTATGAATGTCCATTTTGTTGTATATTGGGGGAAAGTCTAAAGGAAGAGCTCACTCCACCATGATGCTGATGTCACTCTCTGAAAATTCTTAATTATAGCTCTACTACACAGAACTATTTTCCCTTTCAACCTGTGAATAGACTATCCTTTAGTGTCACAGAGCCTGAATAGCAATCTGAAATACTTTTTGCCATTATTTTTTTATGCTTACATATTTCCTGAAGTGGCCCTTTCATTTAGTTGCCTAGAAATTAGAGGAAGGTTGGTTACTGTCTGATTGACTGCTGGAGGCCAGTTGGGACAATATAAAGCATTAAAATAGCTTGTATTGTAAAGGCAAGAAGGACAAATGAGGTAGCTAATTAGGGGAACAGGAAACCTCAAATAAGAGGTCTTTTGAGTTTTTACTCTAAGAGCTGGGAAATTTAATATCACTCAGTGGTGTAAAAGGTTAGGCATTATGACAAATAACCATGGAGGTAGGAACCTGACCAGGTGAGGTTACTCCCTACAAAGAAGTGATGCAGACCATCTTTCCCTGGGAGCTGCTGGTTATTCCAGACACCCTTTACTTCAGCTTAGGACAGGAAGAACAGCGTGCTGCTGTGAACTGATAAGCCACTGAGGTTTGAAGGTGTGACCAGAAAGCCTGAAGGTGTGACTAGAAGCTGTGTGCTAAGCTTCTAGCTGACAAAGTTAATGTTGTCAGGAAGGGATGGGTAACATGTGTGGTTTCCCAAGTGAAAAAAGGCTTTGCAGCAAAGCAGCCAGGAAATAAATACATGAATGCTTTATTTAGTCATATTGTGTATGTGGATGTGTGATTTGCCAAAAAGTGATTATGGAAGACAAAGTTCAAGAGCGTTCAAAACATTCTTCAAATTTCCCATCTTTCTGTTTTATTAACAGTAGTTAGGATAGATGAATTTTGGTGCTTGCAATTTTGGGCTTCATTTTTCAAAGGGCCATGCTAGGAGTTTCAGTTAGTCCCATCTGAAGTTATTGTTGTTATCTTCTGATGCTGGTTGTCTTCTCATTTAAGAAGAAATTTGCGTTTTCCCTGAAATTCAGAGCTTAGTAATAAAAAGCAACTAGAGCTTAGAGGGAACAGCTACACAATTTTGCTTTTCAATCGTTAATCTCATTCTGCTTCTTTCTAAAACTGAAAATCTAGATTTTGTAGTCCAGTTCTCTTAACTTTAACATGTTCATGGAATACACATGTAGGCATCATATCTCTTCTAAGTGCTGCAGTTATAATAATGTACAAGACAGATGTACTCACCCTATAAAGTTTATATAGAGCAGACAGACTATTATGTAAGTATATAAAAGTATTCTGTACCTGCCCGGCTTCTATCATGAGAACTGTCTACCCTCCACCAGCTGAAAGGGTGTAAATCAAAAGAGAAAAAAAGCTCAACGTTACCAGTATCTCCATGTGGAAGCAAGATGTAAATAACCAGATCTGAGGTTACAGAATGGCTTTTCTAGAGAGGTAGTGTTATGCTGCCGCATGTTTCCCAGCTCTTAAGTTATAGTAATGTGCATCCCCTCCCCCAATACACACATGCTTTCCTCCAAGCGTCTGCACTCCAAACATGACATATTAGGGTGTAGAACATAGCTAGTGTTTAGGATTTCTAGCTTGCATTCCTGGCTCTTCCACTAGATATAGTATCTTGGGAGAGAGGGAAAAAAAAGAACATTTACCTATTTTTAAGTCTAATAAGTCCTATCTATAGTGATAATCTCATTGAATTCTTCCAAGTCTATGAAGTTAGTGATATTCTTGTCGAGCACATTCAAATTTTTAAAGCTAGCAAGGATTTGAATCTTGGACTTTAAATAATAATATTAACATTTAATGAGTGCCTGCTATATATGTTCCAGGTCTGGTTAGGCACTGAATATACCCTATATCATGTTAAATATTAATTAATTTAATATTAATTTAAATATTATTAAAGTATTATCCCTATTTTACTGTGGTGAATTCAAGGTTTACAGAAGTGAAGTGACTTGCCACAAGTCACACATAGAAGCTAGGGCTGGTGTTTCAAGCCAGATCTGCCTGGTTCCAGAATTCATGCTTTGTGGCAGAGAGTTGTTGAAAATCCAGGTCCTTTATAATCCATAGTCCATTTGTGCTCTGTGTATTCAGTCAGGCCTGATTTTAAACACGGGTCAAGAATTAGCAATAATGTGTCCTTTGGAGGGTCAATTAACCTGTTAACATTAATTTCTTCATTTGTAAAATGGGGACAATAATAAATAGCTGTCAGCATTGAGAGGTTTCAATCTGATTATACACACAGTAGGTCCTCCGATAAATGATGGTGTCTCTCTCTGCCACCTTTCGGCAGCCATTACTCTTTCTCCCAGCCCTGCACTCTATGTTCTCTCAGCAGAGCTTCTTTTATTTCTTTATTTTGGGGATTGGGTTAGAGGGCTGGGATCTTTCTCTGTTTTGAGATTGAGAAAGCCAATCCATGATTAGGGTAAAGAGAAGGAAATGCCCAGCTGCAAGTATTCCTGAAGTGTCCAGACTCCACTCATGAAGCTTTGCTTATGTAATTGAATTAAATTAGTCTCTGGGAGGTATTTCAGGGGACCACCAGCACATGGTGACAAGCAGCAGACCTCAGTGGTGATTTGGTGATTCAGAGATTGAGGACTGCATCAGGGGACAGAAGTAGGCCAGTTGAGGGCAAACAGCAGGCAGACATCTAGACCAGATCCTAGTGGTGAGAACACTCAGTAGGTCATGTCTATAAAGTAATTGGGAGCAGAGGTGGGGCCATGAGCAAACAGTATGACTGTTATTTTTGGCTACAGCTGGGTAAAAGAAGAAAAGAACTAGGAAGGAATTTGGTCAGAGCCTGGTGAAATAGAGGTGGGTTTGTCTCTGCGTGATCAATTTCCCCTTCTGTCCCACATCTCACTGCTCTTCTTCCACACTCCATGTTACCACTCTCATTTGATTTGAAGAGCAATTTAAATTGGCCTCACAGAGCTACATCAGAAGATTGACAAGGCCTATATCAAACAAAACTGAACTTGAATGAGAGATTTGGGTGTATTCTGGCAGGGGAACATAGAAACAGAGTTC